GCCCCGGGAAGGGCTCGGTGGTCCCAGCGCTGGGCAAGGTGTGTCCCCAGCAGGCTGGCGATGGGGCCGTGCCCACAGTCCCCTCCGATGGGTCACTCCAGGTCCGTGTGGCCTCGGGTTCTGGCGTCCCCCAGCCCAGCACCATGCAACTGGGGGAGGCTGAAGGTGCAAGGAGGACGGGAGGGGCTGCACCCACCACCAGCTGCCTCCTGGGTGCTGGGGAGGGGACCCCTGCGTGTGGGTGCCGGGCAGCGTCCCCACGCAGTGGGCCAGTCCCCTGTGCCTGCTGTGCTGGGCCTTGGGGATGGGACCGTGACCTTGAAGCACGTTTCCTGCTTGGGGGCCCCACTGTGGGTGCAGCCCCCATGGCAGGGGCATGGGCACCCTCTTGGCTTGGAGCTGGCTGAGGAAATGCGGGTTCGAGGTTAGGCAGGGGAGTCTGCGAGCAGCCGGGCACTGGCAGCAGCTCTGGGGACACAGGGGACAGTGACAGCGGCGACCACCAGCTGGCCTTGGCCTGTCCCAGGCGTCAGTGAAGCACGGCCACAGACCTCACACTCCTCTCCCCCGTTGCTTCTCGCAAGGGAGGCCTCAAACATCGCGAGGAATGAATTAAAGGGCGTCGCGAGCTTAAAAATCCAACCCTCTGTCTGCAGCTGTGCCACCTCCAGCTGCCGAGCGCGTCTCCTACCTGCAGAAGATCAGAGGGATGATTCCTTTCCCTGGCTCTTTATTTCCTTCTCTCAAACGTCTCCCTGGAGCTGCTCCCCATTTCCCTTGACGTGAGCCCATCGCCACCTTTGTCTTGGCCCTGGCAGTGGCAGTGGGTGCAGGGGGACCCCAGTGGGGGTCATTCCCAAGCCCCCAGCCCCACCACACTCTCCTAGGCCTGTGGCAAGCTGGTGGCCACTCTCTATCAGGGAGACACATCCCCAAGGGTCGGTAGCTCCTTGGCTCAGCGCTTCCCATGGGTCTGATGGATCCTCAGGGGCAGGAGTGACACCCAGACCTGGAGGCAGGGCTCCCAGGCAGCACCCTGGCAGGGATGTCCCCTGGAGGTGGCACACAACTGGGTGGTCCCCAGGGTGCACGGGAGCCCACGGAGGAGCTGGAGCTGGAGGTGGAGGGTGCCGGGGAGTGGAGGGGACGCAGGGCGTAGGCTGGCGCGGAGGAGTGGTTGCGGTTGTGGCACTGGGCTGCCAGCTCACAGCCCTGTGACTGCGGGGGAGGAAGCGGCTCCACGCCGGGGTGACAGGGAGATGACACTGCGGGCTCTGTTCTCGGAGGCAGTCACGATGCAAGGGTGCCCCGAGTCGGCAAACACCCAGGGCGGAATAAAACTGGCCTGGGTGTTGCCTTCCTGCCCAGCGAGGCACCATCCGGGCTTTGCTGCCTTTTCCGTCCTTGGCCAGAGCACAGACCTGTTTGGGTGGGCTGTGGGGAAGAGGGAAGTGATGAGCATTGCCCTGAACGTGCTCCTCTCCCACAGCTGCCCTTGGGGCAGGGGTTTGCCAGCAGACAGGTGTTTTTCACCCAGCAGCATCCCCATGGGTTGCACTGAATTACAGGAGGTAACTGTAACCCCATGGGTTGCAGCCCCCTCTCCTTGCACCATCACCTCTATCCCCAGCTGCTTGTGTCTTGGTTTGGGTGTTTCACCATTTCCCAAAGGGGAGCAGAGTAGGTTTTGGCCCTGAGTCCTCCCAACACAGGCAAATCCTGTATTCTGGGTGCCTGAGCACGGATTATGGCTCCAAAGTTAATTCACATGTGGCTAAGTTACTGTTGCTGTGGGAACCTTCAGTGCTGAAATCCTTGGCTAGCACGTGTAAAATTAGAGCTCATTCCACCCATCCCCGCGGCGCAGAGCAGCTCGTGTGCTGCCATTTGCTTGAGAGGGTAGCAGCAGCCCCCCTCAGTCAGGGCATTTTGGGACAAGCAGGGTCTGTCCTACCAATGCTCCTCCCTTCTTTGCCCAAGTTCTTGGTTCTCTGGAAAGAAAGACTGAGGAGAGCCAGGAGGCACATCCCCATGTCCCCACAGCATCTCTGTGGGCTCTGCTGGGGCTTTCCATCCAGGCAGGGCACATCTCTGCAGCACGAGGAGTGCAGGTGGGTTGCCAGAGCGGGGAGCGGGGATCTTGGCAGTGCTCCCAAGCGTGCAGAAAGGGGCTGGACGCCTCGTTCCCTTCTTTGAAAACTTGAGAGCATTGTTCCCGTGGGTGGGAAGTGGTTTCGCAGCCTGCCGCAGGCACTGAGCAAGCGCTGTTCGCCCACCGGCGCTGCCTTCACTGGGCTCTGCTGTGGCTTGTGTGGTCATCTAGCAGGAATTCGGCTGGGCTGGAGCTCAGCCAGCCCTTCTCCAGGCCGTGGCTTTTCTTGGAGAGTTGTAGTGTCCATATTGCCCCTGCCTCCGTGGCCGAATCGCGGCCCCCAGCAGCGAAGCAGTGCCGGGGCTTGCCAGGATGGCACGGGCAGGGTTACCATGCCAAGGAGCAGCACAGGTCGCTGTGAAGGTCTCAGCGTGAGGGAAAGTGGCCCTTAAGCCTGCATGTTTGGTGGTGGGCTCAAAGAGGACATCTCCTGTTAAGAGCCAGGTCTCTGACGTTGAGTTACCTCCTGTAATTCAGTGCTGAGCTGCAGCAAAGGAAAGCAAATCAACAAAGAGCTGTTGGAAAGGAGAAAAGGGAGAACATCAGGAGGCCACATCCTCAGTTCCCAAGGTATCTGCATCTCAGGGACTCTGGGACCCATTCCAGAAAGGATAGAACAGGACTGGGACAGATTCAGAGGAGAACGAGAAGGGCATAGAGACATGGAAACTTCCTGCTGGAGCATTGCCTGTTCCTGGGCTCCTCTCCAGGTCTATGCCCCTGGATACAGGGCCCTGGACTAGGCAGACTTTATGGTCTGTCTGTGGGGGTTCCTAAGGAGGAGAGAAGCCAGGTGACCTGGGATTGACGTGTGACCACAGCACAGCTTTCCTTCTGGTGGGATGAGTTGGCACCAGCAACGGGCACCTTTAGTTCAGCTAAAGGGCTTTAGGACTGAGGTTTGGGCTGGCAGCAAGGCTGGGCTTGCAGCCAAGTGATGGATCAGAGGCTGCCCTGACGTCCTTGTACCTGCTTGGCGCTCAAAAACAGAGGTGGCTCTGGCAGTGCCTGGAGGAATCCACTCTCCAGGGGAAGGATTTTTCATCAGATGGCCAAGTCATGCTAGAGAGCTGGGCTGGATGTCACAAGCGATGGCGGAACTCAGCGATGGTGGGGGGGGGAAATTGGCTGTGACCCTCGACAGCCTTTTCCCCAAGCTCTTTGGGGGGGAGCAAAACCACAGCATCCTGTGCTAAGGAGGAGAAATCCACAGGGGTGAGGGGTTGCCCACCTGAAAGCTGGAATGATTTGAGATGACACAGGACTCCCTGGCCTTGGGTAAAGGTTGCCTGGAGGAGCAAGGAGCAGGTCCCCTACACTGGCTGGTGTGACATCCTGCTGGCTTGTACCACATCGTTGATGGATTAATACCAGGGTGTAATCTGCTTGCTTTAAAAATATATCTCCTGTTCCACGGCGGTTTCAAGATCAGGTCCAAACCCTGCATGGAATAAACTGATTTTCCAAAGCATCTCTCCTGTGCTTGGCACACGGGGAGCTGCCAGAGGTTGTGCTGTGGCATGGAGAGTGGCTGGCTCGCACCACAGGGATTGCTCTGATGGCTGCAAACAGGATCACCCCGTCACCAGGGCTGAGCACCCTCCTCTCTAAGAGGGGTAACACGTTCCTGTGAACCAGAACTGCCTTCTTGAGACCTCCAAAAGTGCGCTGGCTGCTTTTAGCCTGGAACTGCAGCTCCCGGAGGCCAAGGAAAGCAAAGTGCCTGGCTGCTTGGCCTGAGGAGAAGAGCGAGGTCCCAAAGAGCCAGGGAGACCTGAAATCCTGGCCTGGGAGCTGGCTGGAAGGTCTTCTGCTCACACATGGTCACAAAGCAGGTGTAGGTGCTCCTTTGTCCTCCCTGGGGTCCACCATGCACCAGCTAACGCTTCTGTGGAGCTTGTGGATCTGAGGTGCTTGGTCCATGTGCACGTTTGGCTGATGTTCTCCTTCCCTTTGTATCAGCACTAGTGTGGCCAGCAGGACCAGGGCAGGGATTGTCCCTCTGGACTGGGCACTGGGGAGGCTGCCCCTTGAATCCTGGGGTCAGTTTTGGGCCCCTCACTCCAAGGACATTGAGGGGCTGGAGCATATCCAGAGAAGGGCAACAAAGTGGGGGAAGAGGAGTCTCAGGGGAGACCTTCTGCCTCTCTACAACTCCCTGAAAGGAGGTAGGAGCCAGGTGGGGGTTGGTCTTACCTGATAGCCCCAAGTAACAAGTGACAGGATGAGGAAACGGCCTCAAATTGTGCCAGGAGAGGTTTAGGTTGAACATAAGGAAAAATGTCTTGACTGACAGGTTTGTCCAGGCCTGTCCCAGACTGCTCAGGGACAGTGGAGTCCCCATCCCTGGAGGGGTTTCCAAGATGTGGAGATGTGGTGCTGAGGGACACAGTTTAGTGGTGACCTGGCAGTTGGACTTGATGATCTTAAAGGTCTTTCCAACCTAGACAACTCTGTGATTCTATGATTCTTCCTTCCCTTCTAGTTTTCCACCTGTCAAGGAAGGTGACGTCCATCGTCCCAGAGAGCTGCCTCCTCATCCTGCTGGGCCTGGGCCTGGGGGGCATCGTGTTGGCCGTGGCGAAGAAAGCCGAGTACCAGCTGGAGCCCAACATGTTCTTCCTCTTCCTTCTGCCCCCCATTGTCCTAGACTCGGGCTACTTCATGCCCAGCCGGCTGTTCTTCGACAACATCGGTGCCATCCTCACCTATGCAGTGGTGGGCACGCTCTGGAACTCCTTCACCACCGGCACCGCGCTCTGGGGGCTGCACCGAGCCGGGCTCATGGGTGGGTGCACAGGGCCGCCCAGCTCAGACCACGCATCCGCAAAAGATGGGTTGGAGGTGCAAAGCACCCTCGAGTTCAGAACCTACTTCCCAGCCCTGACAGGGATCCCCAGGAGCCATGGCAGGAGCAGGGGCCTGGCGTGCTGGGGAGGTGTTCTGGCAGGACTGCTGCGCGTGCGGGACAGACGGGCCCCGCTCAGCGCCGGGCTGACTCATGTCTTTGCTATTTTCGTTGCCGACCTTGGCCAGCTTTGCTGGCCCGCTGTCATGTGCCCCGTCCTCGGCTGGAGCCACTGGCCCTGCCTAGCCCGGGCTCTGTTCTGAGCCCTCCTGAGCCCCAAGGAATTCTTGATGCCTGGTCCTGAGGTGGGACTGCTGAGCCTCCTTCAGTGCACCCACCCCTGCCAGTGGGTCAGCAACGCACCTGAGTGCCAAAGGGGTTATCCAAGCCCTGCTCCCCTCGTCGCAGCGTGAGCCCCGCTTTGCCTAGGGCACCCTGGAGCTCTGGGAGCACTCCCGGGCTCAGCCCGCTGCTCTCCAGGCTGGGATTCTACAGCCAAGTCACTGGGAGCAGCTGAGGGACAAGCCTGTTTCAGCCTGGTGAGAGGGGCTCTGAGGCGGATGGTCTGCCTGAGCTTGGTCCTTCTGTCCTAGCAGATCCTGGCGTTGAAGCTGGGCTCATGGATTTCCTGCTCTTCGGCAGCCTTATCTCAGCTGTGGACCCCGTGGCAGTGCTGGCCGTCTTCGAAGAGGTCCATGTAAATGAGACCCTCTTCATCATCGTGTTTGGAGAGTCTCTCCTCAATGACGCTGTCACCGTGGTGAGTTGGAGCTTGGGGACCATAACGTGGAGCCTGACATGGGCCAGGGCACACTGGCGTCCCCCGGGATGGGCAGAGGCAACTTCCCCAAGCCAGAGGCAGACCCATGCCGCGCTCTCTTGGTCTTTCCTCTCTCCTGGCCCTGGGGGACTTTGCTTGCCAAGGTGAACTGTGTTGCCTGGCAGATTTGGGGCAGGCGAGGCCTCCTCTGCAGGGTCCATCCTGCCTGCAGCTGCTGCCCCTCTCAAGGCAGGGCAGTACCCCAAGGTGTTGCCTTGCCTGCAGGTCCTGTACAAGGTCTTCAACTCCTTTGTGGAGCTGGGCCCAGCGCACATCCATGCCATGGACTACGTGAAGGGGGTAGGTGAGTATGTGCCCCACCAGCACCTCCACCTTTTCCACAGGTGCGGTTGTACCGGGGGGTGGGCACTGAGCACCACAGCTCTGCCACCTCCATCGCAGTGGCCACATTCTGGCCATCACCATGAGGTGCTTTGGTGGACCTGGATGGGAGCAGGGGGCTTGGCCAGCCCGGCGTATTGTGGTCATGGGGCACAGGATCTGGACTCGCTTGCTTATGGTGCAGATGAGTCTTCTTTCCCCACCAGCCTCCTTCTTCCTGGTGAGCCTGGGGGGCACGGCTGTGGGGCTGCTCTTCGCCTTCCTCCTGGCCCTGATCACACGCTTCACCAAGCGGGTGCGCATCATTGAGCCGCTCTTCGTCTTCCTCCTGGCCTACGTGGCGTACCTTGCTGCCGAGATGGTCTCGCTCTCCTCCATCCTGGCGTGAGTAGCCCCTGGACGGGGGTGTCCAGGAAGCCAGGGGAGCAGTGCTGAGCAGCAAGAGGGGGCGAGTGGGCCTGCTCCTCATCCCACTGTAGGGTCACGCCAACTCCTCCCGCCCCTCTGCAGAGTCACCTTCTGTGGGATCTGCTGCAAGAAGTACGTGGAAGCCAACATCTCCCAGAAATCCCGCACCACCGTCAAGTACACCATGAAGACACTGGCCAGCAGCTCGGAGACCATCATCTTCATGTTTCTGGGCATCTCGGCTGTGGATACCTCCAAGTGGGCATGGGACACAGCACTGGTGCTGGGCACCCTGTTCTTTATCCTGCTTTTCAGAGCTGTGGGTCAGTCTGGTGTTTTCACTGTGCTTCAGGCTGGTAGCACCCAGCCCTTTTCATGCCAAATAGTATCCCCCAAGAAAGGCTGGGGCATGAGGCCAGCCATGGCCCCTGGCTGGGTTTTTGTCCCACGTCCAGGAGCAGATGGGGCTCTGCTGGCATCCCACATTCTCCTTCTTCCCTAGGGGTTGTTCTCCAGACCTGTGTGCTCAACCGCTTCCGCCTCATCCCTCTGGACAGGATTGACCAGGTGGTCATGTCATACGGTGGCCTCCGCGGGGCTGTGGCCTTCGCCCTGGTCATCCTGCTGGACAGGGCAAAGGTGAAAGCCAAGGACTACTTTGTGGCAACGACCATTGTGGTGGTGTTCTTCACTGTCATTGTGCAGGTGAGGATGGGCACCATGTCCTCCTCCAGTGCTGCCTTCTTGTCGCAGAGCTGGCCTGGGTGGCCAGGCTGGGGCCTGGGGACATGTGTTTGGGGCAAGTGCCTCTTTTAAAGGACCTCTTTGGTCCTGGGTGCCTCCTGGCACCAGCAGGTTGGTATGACAGACCGCTGTGTGGCTGTCACCATGCCCCACGTTGTTTCCCTGTTGGCTTCTTGCTCTGGGACTGGTTCTGAGAGCAGCAGTGGCATGTGCCTGGCCAGGCTGTTCTCCTGGCTCTGGGGTTCCTGCGCCCCAGCAAGGGGAGCAGCACGATTGCAAGCCTGGGAGAAGGTGGGTGGGGTGTTATGTCATGGTCCCTGCCTGCCAGGACACAGGACCATGGCCTGAGGGGCTGGGTTGGTCGGGGCACACGTGGCTGGCACAATGGCTGTCCCTGGTCACTTCATGCTGCTTCTGCTCCCCATGGCCCAGCTATGCTCCCTCTCGCCCTCCCAGTCTTTCCCTTGCCTTCTCCTGCTGTTCCAGGGCCTCACCATCAAACCCCTGGTGACATGGCTGAAGGTGAAGCGCAGTGACCACCACAAGCCCACGCTGAACGAGGAGCTTCATGAGCATGTAGGTGCCTGGCTTGCCACACCACTGGGGCTGGACAAGGGTGGTGCATGGCTCTGCCACAGCTCTCACCCTCTTCTCACTCAAGGCCTTTGACCACATCCTGGCAGCAGTGGAGGACATTGTGGGGCACCATGGCTACCATTACTGGCGGGACAAGTGAGTTTCTTAGCCAGGATCCTCTGCTGGCCATCAGATGGGTGGAGGATGTGTGCCATCTGTGGGGACATTGCAGGGTTCCAGCTGGAGGACATCCCTGCTGTAGGCAGGGCAGGAGGACCAGGAAGGTTGCATGTCTTTCCATCAGTCCATCTGGAAGGGAACCATCTGGCTGCTGTTGTGCAGCAGGCTGAGGTTCCAAAAGCATCCCAGAGAGAGGTCAGGCGGGTGCAGCTGGGGATGCTGTGAGAGCTGGCGTCGGTGGCCCATGGTGGAGCTGCTGGGTGGCCATGGGGTGGCCATGGCCCTGTGCTTCTCCAGGGATGGAGCTGCACTCCAGGGATGGGCTGAGGAGGAAAGAGCCCCGGTCTCTGGCTTCCCCTTGGGCAGGGACAAAGGGTCAGCATGTCCCCTCCCCTCCTCTCTCCCTGGCAGTGTGTCCCTGGGCACAACCAGGTCCTATGTGCCCAGCCTGTTTTTACCATGCTTTGGATGCTCTTGACCTTGCAGGGGGTCCCTGGTACCCCGTGGCAGCTAAACTGCCCGTGTCTTGTGTCTTCATCTCGTGGTAGGTGGGAACAGTTTGACAAGAAGTACCTGAGCCAGCTCCTGATGCGGAAATCTGCCTACAGGCTGAGGGACGAGATCTGGGATGTTTACTACAAGCTGAACATCCGCGATGCCATCAGCTTTGTCGACCAGGTAGGGGCATGCTGTGGGAGCTGGGCAGTGGGACAGCCCTGGCAGGAGCTGGCTGGCCTGGGGCGGTGGTCCCCCTCCATATATGGCCACTCCTGCAGCCTCTGAGCAGGTAGTAAGGACCCCACCAACCTAGCTGGGTCCTTGCTGCCCCGATGCCAACCTTGCCCTCCCACCTCCCAGGGTGGCCATGTGCTCTCAGCTGCCAAGCTGGCACTGCCCTCCATGCCCAGCCGCACATCCATGTCGGAGTCATCGGTCACAAACCTCCTGTGAGTACAAATGTCCCTCTCAGCCCCTGGGCAGACCTTGCTGGACCCCCACGGCTGCGCTCTTCCTGGGGGGTGGGTTGCGCCAGAGCTGGCGGGGTCTGGCGGGATGTGTGCATGGAGCATCTTTCATCTCCATCTCCCTCTGGCTCTATCTTCATCCATCTCCCTTCATCTCTATCTCCCTCCATCTCCATCTTCATCTCCATGACTCTCCTTGTCTCTCCATCTCTCTCCATCTCCATCTCCCTTAATCTCTGTGTCCCTCCATGTCCCTCTCCTTCCACCTTCATCTATTTCCACGTCCATGTCCATCTCCCTTGATCTCCCTCTCCTCGATCTCCTTCTCCCTCCATTTCCTTCCATCTCCATATTCCTTATTCTCCATCTCCATGTCCTTCCATGTCCCTCTCCTTCCATCTCCATCTCTCTCCATGTCCATATCCATGTCCATGTCTACGTCCATCTCCCTCTCCTCCCTCTTCTTCTCCCTCTCCTTCTCTCTCTCCTTCTCCCTTTCCTTCTCCCTCTCCCTCCATGTCCATCTCCTTCCATCTCCATCTGCCTCCATGTCCATATCCATGTCCATGTCTACGTCCATCTCCCTTGATTTCCTTCTCCCTCTCCCTCTCCCATCTCCATGTCCCCGCATCTGCCCCGCAGGAGGGAGAGCGGGAGCGGGGCGTGCCTGGACCTGCAGGTGATCGACACGGTGCGGAGCCGGCGGGACAAGGAGGACGCTGCCATGCACCATGTGCTGCGAGGGAGCCTCTACAAGCCGCGCCGGCGGGTGAGCACTCCCTGGCTGTGCCCCGAGGGGAGCAGCACTGGCGAGAGGAGCAGGGCTGGAGGATGCCCTCTGGGGCCAGCTGCTCACCCTCTGTCTCTTTGCCTCTCCCTCGGCCAGTACAAGGCCAGCTACAGCCGTCACTTCATCTCTCCAGATAAACAAGAGCGCCAAGACAAAGAAATCTTCCGTCAGAACATGAAGAGGCGGCTGGAGACCTTCAAGTCCACAAAGCACAACGTCTGCTCCTCCAAGAGCAAGGCCAGGATGAAGGAAAAGGGCCGGAAAAAGGCAAGTGCTCCTCAACCTCCTGCTTCTTCCCTAGCTCCGAGATCGGGCCTCTCCCAGGCTGCAGACAGAGAGGTCCTGTGGGGTGTAGGTGAGGTGCTGTGGGGCAGCGCGTTGTGTGCCCACATGTCCTCACCACGTCAGCGCCGCCTTGGGGTGGCTCTTCCCTGGGCAAAGTGGTCCCAAGCCCTGGAGAAGCCCCACATTTGTTTTCCAAGAGTGCTCAGCATAAAGCAGCCTGAACGCCAGTGCAGATCCAGGCTCAGAAGTGTGGCACTGCACCTAAATAGGTGTCTTCTCTCACTGGGAGGCTTTTGAAGCTGTTGCAGCCAAGCTGTTTGTTGCAGGGCCGTGAAGATGCAATAACCACTGACTGTCAGCTGTCATCTAGCTGGGGTGGGAGTCTATGTCCCTGGGGTTACCCTGGCTTGCAGGGCCACCTGGGCTGGGGTTAGGGGTTTGCAACGGGGCAGGTCCGAGCCCCTCCCTCTTCCTTTGCAGAAGAACGTCTCTCTAAGCAGTGAGGCACCCAACGGGAAGACGTACAGGGATGTCCCCTGGCAGGAGGCAGGTAAGGCCAGTGACAGGTGAGGTTTGCAGGTCCTGGCAAGGGGACCTGGTGGGGTGGGATGGGAGCAGCCCACTGTGCCTGCCCACTACCAGCTCAGTGGCACAATAGCACTCACGGTTGTCCTAGCACAAGTCCTTCTCCAATGGGTGCAGTCCTTCCCCCACAGGGTGCCCTGTCCTCTAAACCAGCTCCCTCCATCTGGCTGCAGCTCCTGTCCTGGTGATGGTCAGCTCAGAGGAAGAGGAGAGCGATAGCTCAGAGACGGAGAAGGAGGATGATGAAGGGATTGTGTTCATCGCTCGAGCCACCGATGAGGTCCTGCAGGGAAAGACAACTCCTGGTAGGCACCCATGCTCCCACGCCAGGGTAGCTTCCATTGGGGAGCTTGTCCTCACTCTGCCTGGGGAGCAAAGTTACCTTGGCCTGGGCAAAACCAGAGTCAGCAGAGCATGAATGGGAGAATGATTGTTCTCCGTGGCTCTGGAAGCACAACAGAGCCTCCCTGGTGGCTCCTGCATCCCTGGGCCCATTGGCCATTCAGTAGTGGTTGGCTATGCGATGTTTGCAGGGCCCAGGGAGAGACCAGGAGCTGTGCAAGGTCCTTCTCATTGTCCCCTCTTCTGCATCCCCAGGCAGCCTGGATGTCTGCCCCAGCCCCTGCATCATCCCACCATCACCCACCTTGGCAGAGAAGGAGCTGCCATGGAAAGGAGACCAGGCTGATCTGGCTGTTTACATCTCCTCTGAGACCACCAAGATCGTGCCCGTGGATATGCAGAAGGCGTGGAACCAAAGCATCTCCTCCCTGGAGAGCATCGCGTCCCCTCCAGGCATCGAGAGTGGACCTCAGCACAGGAGATTCAATTGCCCTGTGCTGGAGGAGCAATCCCAGCCCGCGAGCCAGGCGACGCCAGAGCAGAGCTCCTGCTTCCAGTTCCCCAGCCACGTCTCTAAGAGCGGCCGGTTGCAGAGCGACAGCAGCCCGGACGCGCCTGAGCAGCAGGAGCTGCAGCCTTTGATGGCCACGGAGGAGCAGGACAAGGTGTTGCCCACCACGGAGCCCAGATGGCTGATGTTCAACAGGTCGAGCCACCTATGAGGCAGCCTGTGGGTGGAGAAGGGGCTGGGGGCTGCGGACGGGCCGGGTCCCGCTGACCACTCTGTTGTCTCGCATTGTAAAGCTTGTGTGTGTCTCCATGGACTCCAAGAGTGGCAGGAGAGCCTGGGACTCCTCCCCGAGCTGCACTTCAAGGTGCACTCCATGCAACTACTGAATAAAAGCTGGTCAATCACTGGGCTTCGTGCTGCAACAGTAGATACCAGGCCTGTCCACCCAGGGAGGCACAGACCCCAAACATTTTTCTTCTCTGGTCCCTACGCATCTTCATAGCGCTGGGAGGCCAGAGATGTTCCTCCCAGGGCTGGGCTCCTAGCCGGACTCGATCCCATCGTGGCTGTGCTGCCCTGAGGTGTGTGGGTGCTGCCTTACAGGCTGTGGCTGCTTGTGGGTGTGGAAGCACGAGGTGATATCCAGCCTGGCTGGGAGCAGGACATCTCCAGGGAGAGGCCTGGGAGTGGTGGACGTTACACAAGAGCCTGTCCGCACCCAGTGACCGAGCTGTGGACTTCAGGGTGGTTACAGTGCTGGTTCCTCACAACATGCACGGAGCTCAGCCAGGAGGCCAGAGATGGATTCCTCGCCATGGCATCTCTGTGTTCGTCAGGTCACAGAGGCAAGGCCATGACCTTCTCAGGACTGGGAGCAGCACTCCTGGGGTTTGGCTCCACCAGGAGCCAGACTGGTGAACCTGTACGCACAAGGACTCCTCTAGCAGCCAACCTATTGTGCCAGCCTCATGCCTGTTGCCTGGATGTGTTCCCAACAGCTGTGGTCTTCAGCTTTCTGGCTTTGCTCGGAGGCAGCAGCTCTGCACAGCATCCTTGGCATCCATCCTGCCCATGTCCCAGTCCCTCCAGTTGCCTGAGGCCCATCAGCTGGGAGGGCTGGTCATGGTGCGGGGAGCGGAGCGAGCAGCAGGTTATGAATATACGACAGGAACAGGGGTGACGGGTGAGAGCTGAGTGCATCTTCAAAGATCTGTCCCCACCACCTGCCTCCCAGGCACCCTGGTCCCTCCTGAGAGGGTGGTGGGAACTGGTGGCAGTGGCTCATGCAGTGAGTTACTCCTGGTGTGATCCCAAGGGTTCAGAATTGCTCCCCAAGGACTACTCAAAGCGCAACAGCTCAGCAGGGCAGCTGGGCACCAGCAGTGTGGGAGGGTTGGAGATGATGGGGTTGGAGAAGAGCAGGGCCTTGGGCTCTCAGTGTCCCAAAGCAGGTAATTAATTGTCTGTTGGAGCTCCGTGGGCGTGCTGAGACAGCAGGTCTTGAGGGGACACTTGGAGGCATTGCATGAGTGAGCCCAGTGTGGGGCAAGGGAGCTAGCAGTGCCCCCCAGTGCTGTCAGCAAGGCACAGCAAAGGCCACTCTGGTCTGTACCTGTCCCACCAGATGAGCATGAGATTTTTAAAAGGTTTTTATACAGTTTTGCATTTCTGGTATGCCTTATTCTGGTTTTGGTTTCTGATATTGGGCCATACTAAATCTCTAGTTGGGTCAGTATTTCCTGTAGCCATGGGCACCACAAATGACTCAAGGCTTAATATTTTATTTGCAAGAATGTTTTAATGTGAAAATACATGCGAAGTATTTTGTAATGTTCAATAAATTGGAGTTGGAGCAGGCGGCATGTTGTGGTCTCTCTGCTGGCTGGGAACCTCTGCATGACCTGGTTCCTGCAGCTCCTGGAGCTCCCTGTGTCTCTCTGCTCTCCTCTACCTGAGGCCACAGCCCCCGTCTCAGACTCGACGTGTCTGACGGGATTTCCTCCTTTCGATGATGTTTGTGGAAAACGTGAAATCCTTTCCAGAGAGGAGCTCGCCTGCAGCCATCGTCAGGCCGTGCCATGGGGAGCAGCCGGGCCCTCGCTGCCCATGGCCGTGGAGCCCAGACCTTCCCGTGTCCTCGCTGCCTCTCCTTTGGCCAAAAATACCGTTCAAACGGGCCCGTTTCAGAGTGTTCTGGCTCACAGGACCCTCCCAGCACCGGCATGTGCTGGCTTTGCTCTTGCCTCCATCTGCTGGCTCTGCTTCTCCTGAAGGAGAGTTCGTGTCGTTTATTTGATTCTCAGGATGGATGTTTGGCTTGTATTCAGCCCAACATCTACCATCACCCCAGGTCCTTTTTGGCAGGGTCCTAGCCCTGAGGGCTTTGCACTGGTCCCTCTGGAAGCTCGTGCTCTCCCACTGGCTAGGGATCACTCTGTGTGCCAGCGTTTCCTGCAGACATGACCCCTTGGCAGTGCACCGGGTTATCCTCCTGGAAGCCGTGGGTCTGTGGCATTCCTCAGAGGAGTAAAAGCAGATGTCTCGGCTCTGGGAGACACTGGGGCTGGTTGCTGCTCTCCCAGGCAGTTGGATAGCTGAGCCTAGCAGCTCATGTGTGTGCAGGCTCCCCACGGCACCAGCCAGCAGCTCAGAGCCCACTCTTCCCACCCTTGACCCCAGCCGTGATGTGACCAGTGGCTCCTACCGTAACTTTCTCCACAGGGTTTTGTCCATATTTACTCTCATCATCTCTGTATTTCACTTTACAGCAGGCACAGGACTGCTCCGACCCTTCCAGCACAGCAAAGAGTCGCCTCATTCAGCCTAAAAATACTAAAGTGCTTCAGTGGAAAAACACAAGAACGAGGCCAAACCGCAAACACATGTGCCCAAACCCCTGCTTCTCCAGGACAGAGTAAGGCACAACCAAAGGAGCTGCTTGTCCGACTGTAACCCAGGACATCCAACCCTCTGTTACCATAAGCAACCCCATCCTGGAGCTGCCTGACTATCACAGACCTGTCATTTTCCACACAAGCTTCTCCTCACAGCCTGCCATTAAACTTGCACATTTTTTCCACAGTGTTTGACTTTCTCCTCCAGTTTTGCCGCAGTACCAGAACTTGTGAAGTCAGCAGAGGATGTAAGGCAGCTCTGATGGAACAGGGGCAGCAGCTGGATGGCAGACCCCAGCTGTGGGTGATGGATTGGTGTTTGGTCATCTCCCAGGTCAGCTAAGCAGCAGCATTGTGCAGTCGTCTTAAAACCGCCACCTTGGCATTGCACAATGCATGTTGGAGCAACAGGTAAATTTTAGGCTGGAAGGGGCTTGGGGGGGTCTACGGTCCAACCATGGCTCCATGCAGGACTGGTGGCAAAGCTACAGCTTTGTCTCATTGGCTTGGAAAGTCCCCAAAGGTGTGGTAGCAGGTTGAGGGAGGGGATCCTGCCCCTCTGCCCCCCTCTGGGGAGACCCCCCTGCAGTGCTGGGGCAGCTCTGGAGTCCTCAGCACAGCAGAGACAGGGACCTGCTGGAGCGGGGCCAGAGGAGCCCCAGCAATGACCCCAGGGGGGAACCCCTCTGCTGGGAGCCCAGCAGGAGAGAGTTGGGCTTGGGCAGCTGCAGAGGAGAAGGCTCCAGCTGGGGAGACCTTCTGGGGGCCTGACAGGACTTCAGGAGGACCTGTCAGAAAGCTGGGGAGGGACCCTTCATCAGGGTGTGTAGGGACAGGATGAGGGGTAATGGCTCCAAACTGACCCAGGGTAGAATTAGATTAGATGTAAGGAAGGAATCCTTCACTCTGAGGGTGGTGAGACACTGGCACAGGTTGCCCAAGGAAGCTGTAGATGCTCCATCACTGGAATTGTTCAAGTCCAGATGGGCTTGAGCAACCTGCTCTAGTGGGAGGTGTCCCTGCCCATGGCGAGGGGCTTGGAACTAGATGATCTTTAATGTCCCTTCCAACTCAAACTATTCTACGATTCTATGATTCATTCTATGATGGAGATGTCACCCTCTCCCAGAGCCACGTGGCTGCACCACTCCTGCGCAGAATTACTTCCTCCTTATGCCCAGCAAGTGTTTCCCCTGGTGCAGACTTGTCCCTGTGGCCTCTTGTCCTTCCAGGTGTGTGTCTGAGAAGAGCTGGGCTCTCATTTCTCTGTGCCCCCTGTAGGTAGTTCCCCTCTGTGCCTTGTCTTCCTAAAGCTAGTTCTTCCAGATAAATAAAAAGATAACTAGATAGATCTCTGTATCTTATTCTGGGGAGCCCCAAATTTGAGATATTCCCCAGCTGTGTCTCACAGGTACCATGTCAAGAGGAATGATCATCTCCTTAAACCTGCCAGCTTCACATTCTCCATTGCAGCAAGGGTGCTTTTAACTCACAGGTAACCTTGTGTGATTTCTCATTCTGGTCTATTTCTGGAGCACTTCTGATGCCCTCATGTGATGTTTTCACAATGCCCTATACAGGCACAAGTGGTGGGAAGCTGGTGAATGAGAGCCCAGCTTCTCACCTCCCACTTGGCCCCCACAAGCACAAAGCATGGCAAAGGCTTTGGCCACGCTCACATTTTCGTGGAGAAGGCAAACACAGGAGAATTCAGGGGAGGGGTTCAGTCTGACTGTATGTGGTCCACGTTTTGGAGATACATCAGCCTGTTCTTTGCTCCTTCCCGCTCTTGTCCATCTGCCCAGGCACCCATCTCACATGGATACAAGACTGAACAGTTCTCTTGGATTTTTCTGTGTTTGCCTTCCCGCTCTTGTGAAGGACCCACCCCTACTCCCTGCTGTCACAGGGAGTCTCCTCTGCTTGCTGGTGGAGAGAACGATCCATTTTCACTCTGGCATTACCTCTGGAGGGGTATAGGCCAGCGCTGGTCCCAGCCTGCCCTGCCACGCTGGCTAGTGAAGTCGTACAGAAGTTGCTGGGCTGATGGGTTGTGAGTGGCTGGTGACGGAGCCGGGATCCGTTGGCAGCCGGGGCGGATAATGAGGAACAGATTCGTGCTGGGCAGTGGTTCCCATGCAGCGTTCCAGGGCAGAGCAGCCAGGATGGGAGAGCCTTTGTGCTTTGGGTTGTGTCCCTCCAGCGCGTGTCGAGCCACCGCCTCGCCTC